GGTCGGTTCACATGTGCCTGCATCATGTTTTAGTAAGAAGCTTTTGTCTGAAGAAGAATAAAAAGAAAAAGTTTACAGCCAATAAAAAATTCCGTGTGTGTGTTTTCATGTACATCAACCCGAATCTTTCTAAAACCTTTGGTGTGTTTATCACAGTTTTAATGATCAGTAAGTAACACGGTGTGAGGCAGTATTTACGGTGATATGCGGTCGTAGTTTGTAGTGAAATGTGTGTTTGTTCTTTGGCTTTTCGCGGGCCGGCGGTTTGAGCGTGTCGGGGTGGGGTTACTCTCTCTGCGCGCTCACACTCTTTGGTTGTTTACCTGCTAGCCTGTGAGCGCGCAGCACGCTCACTAAGTTCAGACTTTTAGGTTTTCGTGCTCCGCGGCGATGAACCCGGAGCTCAGCGGGTTGTTTTAGACCAACAGCAGCGGGGAAACGGACAGATTCACCGCGGGAACTTTAACCCTGCGTGACCTTTGACCCGCTCAGGCTCGGTTAGTTTATTGTCGGGTTTTTCTCTTTCAGCCGCTCAGAGCAAAGTTGGCTTCCTGCTAGCGCTGCTCACCTGACGTGAATCACCTGAAGGTGACGTTTCATTTGATCCACTTCACGCAGGAATTCAAACCCTGCAGCAAAACTGACCAACGAGCCTCAAACGTTCCTGTAAGTGTTTATAGTATTTATGACGTCACGAGCTGAGCGTTAAACGTGTTTTCAGTCTAATCTAACGCGCACCTGGCAGACAGGTGTGCGTTACATGTACTGCGATACTGCGTGTACTTTCTAACGTTACAGACCTGCAGGCAGAGACACGCGGAAACACAGTGTTACCTGCAGCAGGTGCCGGCGGCCACGCCCACTACAGATCACGTGCTGGTGTGCCAATTTTTGCACACCTGGATGAGCCGCTGTGGGTTATGTGCTAACCGCGAAGTGAACCGGGTCGCTCTCCACCAGACTCCATTCACAAAAGCTGGATTTTTACGGCCTCGACTGGTCCGTTAGTTTGTGTTACGGAGCGACTCTGATGTTTTAGTGAGTTAGTTCGGATCACAAGAAAACACTGAAACAGTAAAGTCACGCAAAGTTGAATAGAAACTTCTTTTTTCTGTCAGGTGAAAATCCGCGTTTTTGTCAGTGGACTCTGGTGTAAGATCGGTTTCTTTGTTGGCCTCCCAAAAGCCATAAACGTCATCATCTAGTCCCAAACGTCATGGAACAATAGGTTAGCAGGTACCTTCAAGATGTACTTTATTGTTATTATTAACATTTAATTATTAAACAGCTTTATTGTTGTTTATTTTTAAAGTGTTACTGTTACACTGGCGCCTGTAGTGCTTCAGCTGTCACAGATAAATGACAGTCGGCCATCCGATCCGGAGCCGATGGCTTCAGATCTGACTGCGTCATTCAGCCTTAACGCTGTTTGTGATTCCTGTGAAGCGACTGATCTGGTTCGATGGTTCTTTTGTTGATTCGTCAGCAGAGCTGCAGTTTTCTTTGTGTTGCACATGGAATTGAATCCTCAGCAGTTACTGAGCGTGAGCAGCAGGTGAAACCTCTTTAATCTGAACTTTGCGTTTATTCTGCCTTTCTCAGCTCGGACTGTCCTCCAGGACGATGGCCAACCCACTCAGGTCTGAAGTGTTTCGACTGTACAAGAACGTGAGTGTTGGGGGAATTCATTTTTAAAGAACTCGATGACCAAAGTTCCCTCTAATGTTCCACGTGTCTGAGCGAACGCACAAACTCCCTGAGCGTCCCGTGGACCACTGTGAGCGACAGCATCCAATCCATCCAAGTTACATGTTTACTAAAGTAATCAAATTACAGCATTTACATTTATGTTAGACGACTTTTAACTGCTTCAGCCCACTTACAATGAAAACTTAAACAATCTTGTTCATGTGCAGCATGTTAACACTGTTGGAAGCAAAAATAACCTGAACTCCAATTTTGAAAACACAACTTTATTTTTATTTTTTTTGCTCTGACTGTATTGTGAGTCTGTGGTCTGGGAGAGAGTCTGTAACTCTGTCTGCAACATACAGTAAATAATGACCAATGTTGGGTAATTAATTATTTAGTTACTTCTTCAAAAAAGTAACTGAGTTATGGAAACAAAGTTTTGCAGCTGTTTACCTGAAAATGCAGCCAAGACGTTTTTAAACAAACATTTCAAACTATTCACAGAACAATCAGCTGTTCTGCATCAAATCTGATGCCACACAAATTATTTGTGTCACAAAAAATAATTTGTGTCCACTATGAGATGAAGGAGAACA